TGAACACTTGCATTTTTGGTTGCTATTATTCAACTGATAATGATGATGTAACATGCACTAATTCTCTATTTTGGCTTCACTTTCACTGAATTATTCAAAACTGTGCACTGTTTTTTTTTTAATCTACATAGCTAATTCTTTTCATCTCACAAACTGCACATATGAGCTTATGAATATGAAAAAATGACTCCTAAGACATGAAACCACAGTTATGGGAAGCCAGATAGGCCAAAAACCCTACAATTTTCTTATTTATTGTTTTTCTTCAAGATTTTCAGCGAACTTAGGAGCTCTGAATATAAGAACCAAGTATCACTACTGAAATGACACATATAAAAATTATAGACCCTGTATTGAGAAAGCTAGAAAATGAAGTATGAAAAGTGTAATTCTGTTAGAACTCCTAAAACCTTGTCTTCAATGTGTGTGATTGTAGCCTCTTTGCGATTTTGGTTCACTTACACAGGAAATACTATTAGGAGCACACTATGATAAATACATGTAAAGTTTATCATCGGTAAATGAATACGAATCAAATTTCGTTTTCTTATGTTTACTATACAGGAACTGATCGTTCATGATCACTATAAGGATAAAATTGGTGGGTTTACTTCATTCAGCAGCATATACAAATCTATTTGTTGTGTTTTTGGTTACTGGTATTACTGTTTTGAAGGGTATAAATAGCTAAATAATTTTAATTAGGTTTTTAATCTCAGTATACAGTCAAACAGCAGATGCAGTAATTTTGTAGAAGGAATGCAGCCCTTGGTCCAATAGTGATTTATGTTTTTTACGTGACATGGAGCGATCTGTGACTTTGAAGCACATGTGAATCTTGTGATTCTGCAAAATTCAGTGTACAGCTTCTTCACTGACATTATTCAGTAGCTGTATCTTCTTACCAATTTCAGTGTAAGTTTTGCCTCTTGATGTGTTATAGTCTCTACAGTAGGTGCATTGTGATTTTCCTTTTAATGCATAGAATAGAAAGTTTAGCGTAAGCGTGATTATAAGCTTTATTAGTCACTTTTCCCATGTTTCATAGTACATAATATAGGCAGAAGTAGTTTCTCCCATATTTTTTATGGATAGTGTACCTGTGATTCTAAGCTTTATTAGTCATAACAGACTATTTCATATGATTTTAATTTATTTTTCTTTTAGTGTTAGCCAAAGCATGTTGATCAGGTGGGGCATTAGTATTGTCTAGAAGTAGTGATCTGCAGGACACAATCATGTGAAATTCAGAAGATTTGATTGCTATGGATCCGACCTGGATTGATCTGCCATGCTTCACTGCAGGTTTATCATACATATCTCCTTGTAATTTCCTATTTTCTAGCTTTGCTCTCTTCCTCTTCTTCTTCCATCTTTCTTTTCTGTTTTTTTTGTTACATAGAAGAGGTATGTTTCCTATTGCTGTACTTTTTCCCAAAGTCTTTGTGTAGAGGGGTTAGGTACAGGTGGTCTAGGACAGGGTAGTTCCACCATATGCTATTGGGCCTCGCTAGAGTGCATTTATTCGGGGCTGGTTGTAAACGATCTAAAAGTTGTACTGATATCCTTGACATAAGATTTGAATAAAACTGATTTCGTTTTAGGCTGATTCTTTTGGCTATTGAAGGGAGACATACACTCCTCTTTTCTCATACATACAATTGTTTATTGTTTTGACATACATACAACTGTCATGATTTATTGGTATATTATCTAAAGATGCCCAAAGTTGGTGTTGCTTGATCTGAAAACCGTAGTTTGTCAAATGTACAAGACCATCTATGAGATATTGAACTACGTGTAGTTTTTTCCCGTTGCAACTCACGGGCCCTTTTGCTAGTTATTATATATACTAGCAAAAGAGCCCGTGCGTTGCAGCGGGAGAAAAAACCACACGCCCCTAACACAATAACCATGACTGAAGACTCCAATAGATCCACGGTGCATCCCATCTGTGTTGCCACTTATCCTTCTTTCTTCCCTTGTCAATGGTGACCACTGTGCTTACACAATCATAACACGTTTGAATATGGTCAATTCTAAGGTGTCTGTCTCTCCGCATAATAAGATGAGGAATCTATTTTTTTCCTTGGAGGGTTTGCCAAGGCATGCATGCATGGTAATAGATGATTCTTTTGCCTCCAAACTTATTTTGCTGAGGTTTTGATTTCCAATCCGGATATACGCCGGTATGAAGGAAAGATGGATCGTGCACTATTGATTAAAATTGCATCCTAAATATCATTAAATAAATGTTTAACACGTAAAACGATATCATATTCATATTCTACATATTATTCTAGTCAATTTTCATATATAACGTGCAAAATTAGAGTTAGATTTAAAAGATATGGATATTTTTAAAAATCATTTGAATCTACCCAAAAATAGTGGATGGACCGCGGGTTGATTAACCAAAAGACTATAGGGTTTTCTAAAAGGAAGAGCAAATCGTTGACGGGCAGATGCACTTCTCCCTTTATGAGTAGATATAGATTAAAATAAGACGCGAGTTAATTTTAAAGAATGGCAGGGGGGTTTCCACAAAATTACTACGGATGGGCAGAAGTACGTCTCCCTATATTAGTAGGTATAGTAAAGAAACTATGTGTTGCAAAGGGATAAATAAATCCGTACACACCACTAACGATCCAAACCGTGGAGATCTTATGGAACTCAGCCTAGAAAGCAAACTTTACCTGAATAGATATCGTTAACGACGAGCCAACAGAAGTGCAAATAAGGTCGAAGTGAATCAATGGAGATGTGGATGGAGGTGTGGGCAAAGAGAAGGTAGCCGTTGATGATGAATCATATGGACCCATTGGCGACACGAAGAATAGCATGCGACACATGGTGGCGTGGGCGAGGTAGCCCCATGGCTAAAAGGCCCCATAAGTTTGTGCCCTCTATTTCAACACATCACATTACTCATGACAAACAGGAGCAGAACGGGACGAATGGGCAACGAACAATGGAAAAGGAGCAAAAATATTCTCCGACACAATCTGGAAGTTAAATATATGGAAAAACATCTGTAATTTAAGCTATATGTAAACATCTAAGGGAACTGTATGTATTTTGTGGTGTTGCTGGAGAGGATGTTCAGTGGCAGACCACCCCAATTACTGGTAGGCTTTCAGTCCCTACAACACACAATCAAGTCAAGAGGAGTGCTCATGGATGCATGTCACGATTTTTATTCTTGAAAAAATGTTATGAAGCATGGACAATAAAGTAGGGAACGCGGCGCCACCATGAGGATGCAGTTCCTTCAGTTGTCAGGCCCACCAATGCAAAATCTGCTTCAATCTATACTAAGCAAACAGTACACTGCCGAATCAAACATCGTCACATTTATTCAGTAATTGGCCTAGAAGATATATGCTAGATTGCAGCATAATCTCTAGTGTATTTGCCAACATCATGTCCAGCCACAGTGCATGTAAAAAATCAAACAATACAGAAAACAACCTACTGCTCAGTTACCATCTCTCTAAATAAATCTCTGAAGAACAAAAGCTTGAGGGAAGGGGCAACAACAGGGCAGTTCCTTCAGTTGTCAGCCCCACCAATGCATAAGCTGCTTCAATCTATACTAAGCAATCAGTACACTGCCGAATCAACCATGGTCAGATTTATTCAGTAATTGGCCTAGAAGATATACACTGCCAACATCATGTCCAGCCACAGTGCATGCAAAAAATCAAACAATACAGATACTCTGAACACACAAAAGCTTGAGGGAAGGGGCAACAGCAGGGCTGTTTTTGAGGGAGGTCGAGGCATCACATACCTGTGTTGTAGCCACCGTTGGACTCAGAGTGCTTCTCTGGACCAAGAATTCCGGCGAACACGGTGCCGGTTCCTCCGGCGTACTCAAAGGCGAACTCGGTGCCGGTTCCTCCGGCGTACTCAAAGGCGAACTCGGTGTCTGTTCCTCCAGCGTACTCAAAGGCGACATGATGCGGAGCATAAGCGACGGTGCACTACTCGCTGGTGGCGCTGGCCTGGTTCATGATTCGGGCCAAGAACAATTCAACTTATAGCAGCGAACTCCAATCCGGGTCGGGACGGTTTCTTTGTTTGAGAAGGAGACCTGAGCAGGAGTTTGAGAAGGACACGGGAGCAGGATTTCCGTCAGAAATTCAAATAAAACACGGGAGCAAAAATTCGTCAGGGACTCCATCCTCCCGCGCGAGGCGCCACCCGAGCCGCCTTCCGCCCCTTACCGCTGGCGACGGCGAGCGCGGAGCTGGCCTTGACGGCGAGGGCGGCCATCTCCTGCCCGGAGAGCGGCCGGCGGCGCATGGACATGGGCAGCGCGAAGTAGAGCCACCCGGGCTGCAGCGCCTCCTCGGCCGCCAGCGCACGGGCGGGCGCGTCGAAGCGGAGCTCGCGAAGTAGAGCCACACGGGCTGCAGCGCCTCCTCGGCCGCCAGCGCACGGGCGGGCGCGTCGAAGCGGAGCTCGCGAAGTAGAGCCACACGGGCTGCAGCGCCTCCTCGGCCGCCAGCGCACGGGCGGGCGCGTCGAAGCGGAGCTCGTCGGCGCTGCACAGGAAGCTCGACGCGCTGGCGGCGTCCCCCAGCGCCTCGCCCGCCATGACGGGCGCCGCGAACTGCACCAAAGAGCCGTCTGGGCCGACCACCTTCGCCGTGGCCACACGCCGGCGACGGCCGTCGACGGCGCACGACGGAATGGGCGTAGCCGCCGCCGTTGCCGCAGGAGGAATGGATAAGATGACGGGAGGACAGCGAGTGAAATTCAAATGAGTACAGGTTTTTTTTTTTTGCAAAATGAAACGTTATATAGAGACCCATACTAAAACAGGGACTGCGGGTTGATTTTTTATAAACCGAGGGGCTTTTTCGCAAAACGCCAGCGACGACGGACAACCAGAAACCCACGGCGCTTTATTATTAGATTAGAGATGCGGGAAGAAACCAAGAATATCACCTTGGTTTAATAGTAGGTATAGAGGTAGAGATTAAGGAATATTACCATCCGTTAGTTGGGTTATCAAAGTATAAATTAAACACAATAACAGTTGCGCAATGTGCGATCTCTCGCGGCCGCTGCCGTTGCTTCCGTGGCTCGCCATCAATCGCCATCGCCATCGCCATCGCCATCGCTTTGCTTGTTGCCTGCTTGCCGCGTCGCCGCTCTACTTCCTCATGGCTCCTCTCGCTGCTGCTGTTGCGTTTGGTTAGGGTGAGCTCCTTCTTTCGTTCGCTTATTAATTTCCGCTGCTTCCGCTCTCCACTCAGCTGTTGATCTTTCTTCCTTCCGCTTTCTTTTCGTGTGTAGGGTGCCTGTGGCTGCTTTGTCGTGCGTCCGTGCGGCTGTTTGTTCCTTCTTTTCAGAGGTGAGGTTCTGCCCGTTCCCGATCTTTCCTGTGTTGCTTGAGTCATGGGTGCGTTTGTGCCATGGATCTATTGTTTGCTGCTTCTAAGAGCCGATGGGATTTGGTTTATCCTTTTTTGTGTTGTACTGATGTGTGTCCATGGATGTTGTGTGTCGATTTTTGCTTCCTGCCTGTGTGACTCCATTCATGCTCATGAACTGTTTGACGTTATGTCCCTTCACTGTGAGACGTTAAATTTGTTCTTCTTATTTCAGAAATCGCACTAATCGGTTCGTCGTCAGATTTGCCTTGCTGTTTCATTTACTCAAAGGATCATCTTTCTCTTCAGGTTCGATTTTCAGCACTTTTCCTTGCCGCTTCAGTCTATTGTGCTTTTTCTTGTATGTTATACGCTTTAAAACGAGATCAACCTAAGCGGACTTGTTTGTGCCATTTGAAATTCAGTTATGTGCAAAGAAAAAGGTCGCAAAATAGTTAGTAATAATTATTAAACAATAGACGAAGTAGATGGAGAACTTATCACTTTTACTGTTTCATTACCTCATCAGGATCTGGTACTTCCAGTGTAGTGCCATGAGGTGCTTTTATCGCGATTAGTGTTTCATTCTGCAGAACGACAAAGACCATATGAGATCGCAACAAAATTATCTCCATACAGATTATTATAGCTGGTCTGTTAAGCTAACTCTGAACAATTAGCAATAAAGTGACCTTTGGAAATGAATAATATTGCATTTCTCAGTAAAACAGACAGACCTGAAAACAGGGCAATCCCTTGATGTCATCCTCGGTAAGGTATAGCCACCTAAAGGCAGGAATTCCAGAAAAAGATTAGTACATGATTAGAAACTGGCATCCTATTAAGTACAAAAGCCAAACATGGAAGGAATATAGTTTACCTCTGATTGTTCTCCTCTTCAGTTAACTCCCTCACCTTTTCATGCATTTCACTGCAAGTATAATTATTTTCAGATCATGTAGCTATTTGTTTTAGGTACCAGACAAATTACAGTCAATAATTTTGCAACCTCCAGTAGCTACCAACCTTATACGATTATCCAATGTTTTTTCTTGGAGTTTAAAATTTTCAAGTTCTGTCTGCGCCAAGGTTACACAAAAGGCTGCTTAGATTAAAATGTTTTCTGTTTCTATCTTCAGAAGAAATTATCAAAACTGACAATTTCAAGGTTGCAAGAACTAGAAAATTACAGCAATACGTATCTCCAAAACTGAAATTTCATTGTCTAAGTTAGCTCCTGAGTTATCCAAACCGCTGCAGCGTTGCGAGCTTAGCATTTCACACCATAAATACAGGCATAAATAGTTAGAAAGAAGACAATGTTTACCTCCAACGGATTCTGTTCTTAAGCTTCTTTATGGGACGTCCTTCCAGCCGAGGCCCAAAAATACCATCCGCCTGGCCCATGGCAAATGCTCAGCCCAACGGATTCCACACGCCCGCACCCGGGTAATTCGTTTCTATATGTTCACACACTAGGCTGTACATACTCGAATCATCAATTGGATAGCACAAATATTCACTTCTCTTTGCTCTTCTTACTTAAGCATTCAAAGTTATCTTCCATATCACACAACAATTTATGTCCATGTAAATAACCTGCTTTCTTTTACCAGTATTTTCAGGTTAACTATACTGAAGAGAACCTGCTCGACTACATTGATCCAAACAATGATACACTCATGGTGAGACTTGCCGATGACCATTTGGTCGCCAAGTGTCGCATCATGGTAGCAACTGACAAGAGGGCCACTATAACCACCAACTGGTCTGAGTTTCGTCGCCGCGCCAACATTCGTGAAGGAGATGTCTGTGCATTTCGTTTTAGGATCACTTCAAGGCGCCGCCTGGTTCTCACCATGCACCACCTCTAGATGCACAATCAAACATGCTACGGCCCCTCCGTCAATATAATCTAATATAATGCACTATTAAGTACTCCTAATTATGCTATAGCCCTGTAATGACCTATGCTCCTCTTTTGTGCGCTCTTATATCATGCTTTTCAAGACCTACTGCTTATGTTGACAGCACTGATATCAATCAGACGTTTCATGTTCAGATCCATAATGGATTTTCTCTCTACAGTTTATATTTCTTTTCCTGCTGCTAACTTTGTTCAATCAAGATACCATCCCAAACGTTAATTAAAATAAAAAGGAGTGTTCAAAGGGGCGAGTACAACCAGGCAACGCCCAGCTCCCCCTCAAGAGGCGCGCCACGGGCGCGCCCCAGCACCTAGTCAATCATCATATGTGAATTCATTGTGTTACCAAATAAACGTTGGGTTTGTCCGGCCAGTAGGAGGGGGGCGAATAAAAAACCGACAAAAAAAACCGACGAAATTGGGAGGTGGGATGGAGGACGAAAAAAAACCAGCGAAAAATAACCGCGGACTATTCACCAACTGCTCCATTAGGAGTAGAGATGCTATCCATCCGTAACATTGACTAACCGTCGAGGCCGGCGGCCGGCTTCATCTAGTCCCGCAGAACATGATTCATACTCAACCACCTTGCCATCGGACGAGATGCATGGCCAGATCAAAGCTGCAGCCATGGCTGAGAAATGATATGTAGAGGACGCAAACAACCAATTGGGGTGTGGGAAAGAGGTTGCCTATAGCGAAATGATATGTAGAGGACGCAAACAACCAATTGGGGTGTGGGAAAGAGGTTGCCTATAACCTTGTGGCTATAGGCACCCGCATGGAGGACTGGGAGGTGGGATGGCGTCGACTCTTCGCCGGCGGCCGCCGCGGGGAGGGCAGTGCGCCTCCTCTCGTGTTCGTTGAAAAGGTGGTGCGAGATCGCGAGGGAATTGGGGTGGAGGAAGGGAGGGGCCGCGACGCGCGGCTAGATCCTGCCGGCGAGGAGGGAGGGAGGGGCCGCGACGAGCGGCTAGATCTTGCCGGCGAGGATTAAACGTAGCGGCGGCGAAGAATAAACCCTAGCGAACGGGATAAAAATCGAACCAAAAATAGCCCTGAAATTCATACCGAGAATACCCTCGAAATATTTGGGAGGGAAAATTAGATCAGTTCAAAAAAAAATTTCTCCTGAAAATTCCCCTCGGGGTCTGATATAATACACGTGACATCAGCGTATTGAATCGGATCTGCACCGTTGAATTCGCTTCGACGGACGGTCCATATCATCCGGATGCACTGTAAAATGACCCATATAGGATACGCGGAAAAGAGACCCCTGTTCGAGGAACCTTCCAAAATGTTCCTTACCGATTTTTGAACCTTCTAGAAGTTTTTAGTCCAGTATTAAGTTTTTGGCTTTTCCTGGTTTTCGCTTTGCTTTTGCTTTTCCTCTTTTTCATATATTCAAATTTTCAAAAATGTTAAGAATTACAAAATTTGTCCAATTTTATTAAAAAAATTGCGTTTTCAGAAATTGTTCACGTTATGAAAAAATGTGTGTTCCCATTGGAAAATTATGTTTTCAAAAAATTTCACGTTTACAAAAAAATTATTGTGTTTACAATAAATGTTCCAAAACCTTTGCTTCAAAAAAAAATTGCTACAGTACCTCCTAGTCGTAAACAATTGCTCGTTTTTGAAAAATGTTTGCACTTTAAAAAACTTTCACAAATTTTTAGATCTTCAGGTTTCTTAAAAAAATGTTTGCCAATTTGAAAGATTGTTAGTTCTTTAGAAAATAGTTGATTGCTACAGGACTTTGCCATGTCGCTATATTGCTTTGACTGGTGGCTAAGTACTCCGTCCAGTTACTACAGTGTGTTGCCCGCACAATAGAGTGTGTCCTGTCTCTTTTTTTTTAACCAAGAACCGCGGAACAATTGTTACTAGAGGTAAGGAGAAAAAATAGGAAAAGCAAAAGAGGGGAAAAGGTGAAAGCCAGCTAGCCAATTCCTGCTCTAGGGATACACTCCATTGATTAAAAGTTATTATCTACCCACTGGGTGAACTGAAGTAAGTTTTTATCCTTGATCTTGAATTGCGTTCTACGTGGTCAGCCATCCAAATAGCATCAAATTTGTATTCGCCCACAAGTGTTGCCAATATTTTTGATCATTGGCTGGACGGTATTTCAAATAGGTACAAAACGCTAATAAGGATGGGAGCGTATGCCTTACTATGGTCGCTTTGGCTATGTAGAAAATGATGTTGTTTTTAATGACAAAAATGTTTCTCCTTTGCAGGTTATTTTCCTTTGTACGCACTCGCTTCGTACTAATAAAGCAAGGTGTGTTTCTCCACTTTTTTCATTCGTTCACCATCGAAATTTATTTTTCTATCCGAGGTGGTACTAGTTTTTTGTGTGTACGTCTATTTTTTTAGCAATCCAGAATTTTATACTTGGCCCGCACACACTGTGGCCCAGCAAAGTCAGCCCACTTATTATGCCTGCTCATGTAGCCGAGAAAATCCTTTTTCTCGCCATGCTCGGTAGATAGTCGCCGATCGCACAGGGTGCCCATGACTGGGCCGGCCTTTTTTGTTTTCCTGTTCAAATTTATTTTTATTTTCACTTTGTTTCGTAATTAAAAAATTTGAAAAAATGTTTAGAACTTGATTTTTTTGTTCCTATTTTTTCTAAAATTCATAATTATTTGGAAAAATGTTTGGGCTTTAAAAACATGTATTTTAGAAATTAATCGATTATTGAAATATATTATTGCTTTAGTAAAATGTTCACAGATACAAAATAATGCATGCGTACGTCTATTTATTTTTAGTAATTTATTTTCGAAATTTATTTTCTATCCGAGGTGGTACTAATTTTTTCTGCATAAGTTCTATTTTTTTTTTGGCAATCCAGAATTTTATACTCGGCCCGCACACGTTGTGGCCCAGCCAAGCCAGCCCACTTATTTGCCTGCCCATGTAGCCGCTAAAAGCCTTTCTCTCGGCCGGTGCGGTAGATAGTCGGCGACTACGCAGGGACTTCAAGACTGGGCCGCCCCGTTTTGTTTCTCCGTCCAAATTTATATCAATTTTTACTTTATTTCAGAATTAATTTTTTTAAAAAACTTCAGAACTCGAATTTTTGTCAAATTTGCGATTTTTTAGTTAAAATATTGTCTTCCCCTTTTTAAAAATGCTTGGAACATTAATATATTTTCCCGTTCCGATTTTTCTCCGAATTCATAAATATTAAAGAAAAATGTTCGGTCTTTAAAAACATAAATTTTAAAAAACTATTCTATTTTTGAATTATAATATTGTTTTATTAAAATTTTCACAGATTAAAAATAATATCTGCGTACGAAAACATATTTCATAAATTTGTTTGAATGTTCAAAACATGTTCTGTTTTAAAAAGTCGGCCAGAAATTATAAAATGTTTGGTTTCTGATAAAAGGTTCATGTCTTCAGAAAATTATGTTGTTTCAAATTTTGGGCAGGTTTTTTGCAAAATGTACGGAATATTAAAAATATTGTTTGTAATTTAAAAAAAACATGTTTTCTAGAATATTCGGGAATTCATATTTTTCAAAAGTTAAAAAATATTTTAAATCCGACATTGCACTTTGATTTTTGAAATATATTATTGTTTTAGTAACATGTCCACAATTCAGAATAATGTCTGCATTTGAAAACATATTTGATAAATTTGTTTTGAATGTTCAAAACATATTCCGTTTCCAAAAGTCGGTTACAAATAATAAAATGTTTGGGTTTTGATAAAAGGCTCATGTCTTCGGAAAATGATGTTGTTTCAATTTTTGTTCATGTTTTTTCCAAAATTTATAGAATATTATATTCGTAATTTAAAGAAAAACACGTTTCCAAGAATATTCAGCAATTCATATTTTAAAAAAGTTTGGAAAATGTTTTAAATCCGACATTGCACCGTCTTCTTAATTATTCGCGCCGGCCATTGCTTAGCAGTAGGCGTTTGTTGCCGTGCCTAGCGGCACATGGTCAGGTAAGGTCATGTGTTCAATCATTCAACACGTGGTTTCTTGGATTATTACTCGTGCCTTGCAAACACATCTTATTTCGGTGCCAGCCAGTGGGCTGGCCCAGACACGAATTGTTATGCGTATCACTGGCATGATATAGTAGCTCCCACGCAGCTGCCCTAAGAAAAGAAAAACATATACTTATAGATTTTGTTCCATCCATTCCGTACGTAGTTCTCCATTTTTTTGCGTTATCCCCCGGGTGAGCCAAACTGGACCTACCATGTATTTCTTTTTCTGTCTTTTTCTGTCGGACGGACGAGCAGCAAAAACCAAAGGGCGCAAGGGGATGAAACTATGAAAAAAAAAGGTACCAATTGGTGGTCGCCGCCACGCTGACCAGGCCCACCACTATCAAGATCTGGCGCGCCAAAGATGTCCCGTGAGAAGACCGCGGCTTCTAGCTCTGTCGCCCACCGCCTTGGAAACCCTTTTTGATGAACACATCAATTATCTCTCCCGCTTCT